CACAGGCAAGTATAGCTCTCATCCGTCACCAAATCAACTTTTTGTTATAGATGAAACATTTATAGAAATCCTCAACTAGTCAAAATTCAGAGAACAATCTGAATTGATCATGGGGTACCCAGCCCCAAATGGTGCATCTACAAATGTACTCTATAGACCTAAGCTTCAGGAAGCATCACAAATGGGGGAATCAAAAGATTGTAAGAGCCAGAAGACTAAGAATGTTGTATGAAATAGTACTTTTTAAATATTGATAGGGAAAAAACATTCATAAAATGTAAACAATATGGTTGCCTAAATGATACCAGCACAGTGACAATAACATTTGACATGTCAATGTGAATAGGTGGAATGCTGCAGCACCCCACCCCTAGATGAAGAATTACAATTAATGACTGCTAAGAGCAGGAGATTTGCTCTTCTCCAGGGTCAAGTCCCTTTATAGGTTATTTAATCCCAAGTGGTCAGTATTAAACATATTCCATTTTAAAATACATGTGTACTATATACAAGTGTATGCATGCATGCATATGTATGCATAGTATTTTATGCTTATGATTAACACTAAATAAACACAGCAGGTTGTATGTATGTGTGAATATACATACATAACTGTATAGGTGAGTGTGTGTAACAATAATAATTAAAGAAGAGGTCATAAATTTTAGTGTGAGTGGTAGGGGCACAGAAGGAATAGGAGAAAAGAGTGGGTTACATAGTATGTAAATATAGTACTTGTGGAATTTTAAAATAATTAAAAGATTAAATAAAAAGGATGCTTTCTGGGTTTTTTATTTTTGAGATATGCAATATATATATTACATGTAAACAGTGATGAATGAAACTTAGAAATACTAAAATTTTATGTGCAGAGGCAAAACCAAATGAAGAGATGAAGAGGAGAAGGGGGAGAAATGCTGTCCATGTGGCTGTAAGCAGTGAGGAGGAAGCTCACATGGATCTGTGCTAGTCTCCATTTGAGAATTAGGGAGACAGGAAATTTAGTTTTCTTAATTTCTTAAAAGGAAATAAAATACTCAGATGAAACATGAATCACTATGTAACTTTTTAAAATTATAAACTTTGTCTGAGTATTATAATTATTAAATATCTTTCTCTTTCATTAAACTTTATAAAATTTCCTGTGATTTTTCTTTGTCTATGCGAATATATTAAACATTTAATTATTTTCATGACTTCCCTGGCATTTTTATTATCCTTTTTATCACAGCATGCTTCCGAATAAAAGGTTTCTTTCTTATTCTGGTGTAATTTCTCTAGTGGGTGAAGGAAAGGCAAAAATGGATAATAAGAATTGAATTCTATATTTTCTCCTATTTTATCCATTTTCTATTGTCTTCTGTTTTGAAAATGAGGCCTTACATATTCAATATGAAGGGTGGTATGAAACATAAAACACACAGTAGGCCGTCCACTAAGGAAGCTTCTCAGAGCAAATGACTCATTAAACAAACTGAAGCAATGTGAGGCGGACCAACCGGTTACATAAAAATTGTGTATGCCCCAAACTGCCCACGTTCTGGCTTCATGCCTGTATATCTAACAAATATGTTATATTTCAACAAGCTTTTAAATATACATATGTAATTCCTTGAGATTTTCATATGAACATACACCATATTTACTTCCTACTCCTCCCCTAACCCCTTTCAGAACCACCCCAATCTTCCAACCCACATCAAATACTTTTCATGTCTTGCTTCTTTGTTTTAACTCCTGAGTCCAACGTGTGCTTCCCATATACTTATAGGTGTTTTCAATCCACTTGGATTGCACTCTGAAAAGTTGAGTTTTCCTCCCCTAGAAGCTATCAACCGACAATAATTCAACAATCCTTTCTATTCAGAAGTTTCCTTATTTTTTTTTACAGATTTTCTAATATTTCCATTTGGTATATCTATATAACTTTCAAAAATTTGATGTCTAAAACTTGAATGTGGGAGAATAAGTGTTAATAGTAGCCTCAAATTTGTAGTGTGTTATCTATAAATAGATGATTTTACCCTATAAAATATAAAAAGGTCATTTAGTTTCAACTCCCAAGAGTTGCTGCCTTCTCATCTCTACAAATTCAACATGGTAGGCAGACATCTGCACAGACAAACAGACAGACACTAACACAGAGACACACACGGGGGAGGGGGTGTGATGCAATGAGAGCTGTTCAGGGAAAGTAGAAATTTTGGGTGAGAGGAATCACTTAATCCTTACTGCTCTGCCTCAGGAGAAGTAGCATGCAATACTCCCAAATATGCGCTTTATTTATATTTCCTCATAACTTTCCAATTATATTTTTTTACAATATTAAAAAGATTAATGTACTGGAAAAGTACTAAAAGGAAGAGACAAGAGGGGAAAGTGAACAAAGAGACCTAGTCAGATTACTGCTGTCAAACAATTGACCATGATGTGTAATGAATAATGGTATTATTTTCAAGTTGGGTTCATAATACAGAAGTACAAGGTGTCAAGAAGAGGGACTAAGACAGGATCAAGAGGGGAATGTGCTCAAGACAAGTGACGAGCAAAGAAAAATGCAATAAAAATTCAAAGGAAATTAGAAGTAAGAAAGAGCAAGTAAGATGCCTGAAAAGCAGCAGCAACTGTCAAAGAAACAAATAAGATTAATCAGATACTAAAAAGCCTGAAAGAATTAGATAGAATGGGAGGAATGCACCACAATCTAAATCAATCCCGTAAATTCCTAACATGAATTCTTGGAAATTAAAACCATAACAATAATCTAAAAAAATTAAAATTTTAACTCAACAAACTGATTCTAGAATAAATTTGAGGAAATAGGAAAAAAAAAGCAAGAAAACATGTCCTAGGGTAAGTTTCTAGGACATAGAATGATGGACTGCCATTCTAATGAACCACTAAGATGATGCATCAATAAAGTACCCTTTGCTCAGCAGACATTACAAATCTCAATATTCTATAATGTTAGAATAAGGGACAACATGAGTAATACTGAGTCAAACTGTATTTAAGTTTAAGGCAAGAGAAAAGGGATTTTGAACATGGTAGAATTTAAAAATATTGCTTCCAAGGGAACTCCTTCATGAGTCTATTACAGGTGACTTTTAGACAACCAACAGATGATACAATAACAAAGAAAACTGTCAACAATGAAAACTCTATTCTGAGATTCCCCTCTACAATCAAGCACACACATGGACAGTCACATAAACATATGCAAATATATATTTACACATATAAGCATGCACAGGCACATGCATACACACACATGCACACACACACACACACACACACACACACGAACCTTTACATGTTTCCAGTTTTAAACACATAGACTCATAGCATATTCTGGACCAGAACCCTCTGCTTAGCCACTCTTCACTTCCTGGACTTTATTGATGGGTGTACTATTCTCATTTATGTTTTTAATAGCTAAGTTTTACAGAGAGTTGCTATGGAATAACAGATAACCAGCACAGTATTTGAATTTGAGGGCTGGGGAAATGGCTTCATTGATAAGGTGCCTGACATACAAATATGATGGTTGGAGTTTGGATTCCAAACATCCACATAGAATTTGCGCACACCAGGATATATTTGTTATTGCAACCACAGTGGGTGAGGCTGGAGCCAGGCAGGTTCTGATTCTAACTGACTAACATGCCAGGTTGATGAATTTGTGGCTTAATGAGACACGATGTCCCAGAAAGGAAGGTGAGGAGAGGAAACTTGATGTTCATTTCCAGCCTGCACACATATGTGCACATGACCTACGCATCCATATACAAATATGTGCTCACATTTCACATATACACACTAAAGTATATTGGATTTGTGAAGGTCAGAGTGCTTTAAAACAGGGCTTTTTGTCTTGTCTTGCTTTGTTGAAATACTGTGGTTCCCAGGTGCATCAGCAACAGATACAACATTGTTGAGGATAGTGGGAAGGGATGAGGTGTGTCCCCTCAATTTACAGAACTGCAACATGTGCCCAATCCATGCATAGAAATGGCTAAAGGTCACAGACTGTGCTTGCATTGCTGCTCGGATGATGAATGTCATTAAGTACAGTAGGAATGGATGTCAAAGCCATAGTTGGTATGTACAAAAGATAAATGAACTTTACAGGCTGGTGTAGGAGGTCCTTCTGGCTATGTGTTGCTTTCATTGGTTAATGAATAAAGAAACTGCCTCGGCCTGAAAGGGCAGAACTTAGGTAGGCAGAGAGGACAGAACTAAATTCTGGGAGGAAGAAAGCAGAGACAGAGATACACCATGGATCCACCAGAGACAGACGCTGGGAATTTTACCTGGTAAGCCACTGCCATGTGGCAATACACAGATTAATAGAAATGGGTTAAATTAAAATATAAGAATTAGCCAATAAGAAACTAGAGCTATGGGCCAAGCAGTGATTTAATTAATACAGTTTCTGTGTGGTTATTTTGGGGCTAAGCTAGCTGGGCATCTGGAACAAACAAACAGCCTTCTCCTTGCAACAACAGGCAGATGTGGGTCAAGTGGGAGAGACTGCCAGTCTGAATTTCTTTGAAAAGATCTGAGAAATGCTGAAGACCTCACTGTAAAGAGCAGTAACCCACCCGGGGTGGACAAATGGCAATGTGTTAAAGAAGAAATGTTTGTCCCATTAAGGGTCTAAAGTAGAGACAGGGTTCAAGAATGAGGGGGTAACTAGAGAATGCAGATATATGTTCTAAGAAAAATAATCAGCCTTGACATCTAATACAGCCAGTATGAAACAACAGCTTCCCTTTCCCTGCAGGAGGCAAAACCATAGTCACAAATCTGGGGGTTTGAAGGTCACATGCAGGTTGAGAAAACAAGGAAGTAACTAAATGTAACTAGGACCCTCTGTGACACGCAGAGCCAGTGCTCTTAACCATCGCAGAGCCAGTGCTCTTAACCATCGAGCTAACCTCTTCATACCTCCCATTGCAAAACATTTAAAAACCAACAGAGAAGATCTGGCATCTTACCTCTGTCTAAGATCTGACTGATGACAGAGATGTAGTCCTCGGGCTCCTGCTCTGTTGAGATCTCCCACCTGCTTCCGGGGACACTTAATAATTGAAAGAGAGGATCTGAGCTCTCCATCCCACAAAGGAGGGTCACCACACTTGCTGGCGAGCGAAGTATCTCCTCTAGAAACTGACACTTCTCTGGAGTTAGGTCTTTAAGTAGACTATTAGATAATATCAGAAGCTTACATTTGTAAGCATTTAAGTCTAGCAAATCCAAATGCGTAGAAGAGAAATTCCACAAGGGATACAGCAGGATGGCTTCTCTTTCCACAATATGTAATAATATTTCTTGAAGGTACAGAGCCCATTCCTCAGCATCTTCCTCATGAATCAGAAGGATGTCTTTTGCACTTCCTGGAAAGAGAGATAAAAATATTTTATTTTTCTTATAGTCAGAAGGCTAACAACAGGTTATATTCTCCTTTAAATGTGAATAAAACATGCTAATTTGCTTATAGCTGATACTAGTATTGTAAAATGTTGCTATCTTTATTGTAATCATGCAGATTAAAAAATAAGTAAGATATAACACAGTTGTTGCCTCTCAAGCCTCTTCTACACATGTAACAAACGTGACTCTTCAGTAATCAACAAAACAAAGTTTATTTGCATGAAGGAACTCAACTGTGAAAAACAAAAAAGAAGTTGGTGTAATCATGTGTCAGAAAGTAACAACTTGTGGGCTGGCCCGGGATTGCTTACTGGGTGAAGGTGCCTGGCGCCAAACAGAGGACCTGAGCTTAATCCCTGGCCCCACATCACACAAGAAGTGAACTGACTCTCATAAATTGTCCTCTGTCTTCCACACATTTGCTGAGGCCTGTGAATACAGATTTGTTTACAAAGACAACAAAAAATACAATTTTAAAATAATAAAATGTTGCTATTGAAATAAATAGAAGACTCTCGTAGAACAATCTAGAACTAAGATCTATCCTCTCACTCAGAGCCAAGATTGTTGAGGAATCAGAGTCATCAGACTGTCAGGGCCTCAGGCATCACTTTCCTATTGTTTATTCCATCACTGGGCTTCTTCATCAAGATCCTACAAGACAGGCTCACAGCTGAGTCTGAAAAATCAATCAAGTCCACAGATCCAACCACTCCACAGCAGAAAAGGGGAGGATCTTGCAGAAGGCCTTACAAGGATCACCCCAGACCACAAACCATACTTTGCTGAGGAACATTTGATCTCACTGTGAACCCCGAGTCTGTGTTAATTAAATAAAACCTCAGGTCAAGGGGCAGAACCTGCAACTAGTTGACAGGTATTAGCTTAAGACAATTAGAGGGAGTCAGAAAAATAAATAGCGAAACACTCATGAAGTAGTGGGAGGGATTTTGAGCATGGCAGTCTGGTTTGGTTTGGGATTGCAGAAGAGATACTCTCTCTTGCAGGCTTGCCACCTAAGGAAGAATGTCAGCTGGTTGCTTCTTGGCCCCTCTGAGCTAGCAGGTTTTCTCCCCAGTATCTGACTCGCGAGTCTTTATTGGTAAAATATGATAAAGATTTCATCAAAAAGTACATCTGGCTGCAGAGGCAGTGGCAGTTATGGGTCCCTGCCAAGTCTCAGCCTAAGCCGTAGGAGAGCGATTACAGATCAGCAGTCAGAAGCAGGCACAGCAGTAGACTCGGGGGCAGCTGCTGTGCAGCAATAAAACAACCCTTGTTGTCCCACTTTCCTGAAGACCACGTGAGGCCACTGAGAAGCCAGTCATTTAGAAGTACCGAGTAAGGTAAGGAAGAAAATGCCAAGAGTTGTTTTCCTGCCCAAGCTAAAATAAAAAGTCTAACCTTTGTATTTTTTAAAGAAAGGAGCAACATAAATATTAGCAGTACTAATTGCTTTTTTTAATAGGATGGGACTATGTCAAATGATAATAACAATAACAATGATCATCGTAATTAAAATTACCATATGTGGACTAGTGAAAATAATAAAGGGAAAGAATGACAGGCTTTAGAGCCCAAAAAATCACTGTAGCTTGAGTACAACAAGAGTTTAAAGACAATATGACATAATTAAAAATTTTTAAAAAGACTACATATCCAAGCACATTTTATAAAGCAATAAGTAGATTAGAAATTGGTAACTTTTTAATTTCCAACCTGTAACAAAGCTAGATGTTGCACAGCAAATGTTAAGAAGGGATGAAATTAAAGCTATGTAGGAAAATATGATAAAGTAGATAAAAATTGAAAAGAAAAGGATTCAATATACGGATAATGCAAACTCCTGAAGTGGAGATGAGAAAGATTCACACTGAGGGGGTTGCAGACACATCCCGCTGATGTAGTACCTGCTGTGCTAGGATGAGGACCTGATTTCCAGAACCCACATTAAATATAAAGCTGATGTGGCATCTACAACCCCTGCACTGTAGAGGTGGAGGCAGGCAGATCCTTGGAATGAATGGACTAAATAATCTAATTGACCCTGTGAGCTTCTGGCTCAATAAGAGACACCATAGGATGGAAAACTATTGAGAAAAACACCTTACATGTACCTCTGACCCCTGCACACACATACATATATGTATATGCATATCTATATGCATATGGGAACAAATTCTCACGAGCATCTAGTACATCACATATACCTTTGCTTACACCACACATGAATACACATATAATATTCACGTAGAAGTGGTGCAGTTGATAAGAAGAAAACGGTCAATGGGAGGGGGAGAAAGTTGGGAAAGGAGGGAAATGTGATCAAAATGTGGTATGTATTTTACGGAAATGTCATAGTGAAACCCATTATTATGTATACTTGAGACATGCTGACAACAGTTTTAAAGCTATTTTAAGATTAAAGACAAACGGTCCTATTTACATGTGCTTGTGTGGTATGTGTATGAACGCAGCCTGCACACCATATGGCAATTAGAAAACAACTTTCGGCAGGCAGTTCTCCCTTTCTACCGTGGGGACTGGGATTTTGGATCAAACCAGGTTGTTTGTCTTATATGGAAAAAATTTTTACCCACTGAGCCATCTCACCAGCCCAAGATTTTTAATAATTTTTTTGATAAAGTCTTGGAATAAAGAGTATAAGGTACCAGCTTTGTGAATCAGTGAGGTACAATTGGAGGAAAAATGGTTAAGGAAAGCAAGGCTTGACTAAATTGACCTTAGTTTAATGGTTATTATAAAAGTACTTTCTATATGTAGAAAGAAAAAGTGTGTCAATCACAAGAGAAAGCAGAAAGTTGGTGTAATTTCTTCTGAGCAATTTCAACAGATTACTGTGAATTGTAAGGTAGCTCTCTAAAGGTGAATTCTCCTTGCACACTGGTACTCTAAGATACTCCTCTGTGTAACAACGAAAAGGAATGAGCCATAGATACGTGAAACATGCATAGATCTAAGAACAACACTGAGTGCAGTAAGCAAGAGTGCACACAGCAGAGGAACACTGACAATCTAATTGGACACATTGAACACAGATGCTAATCTACCTGGGCCAGATTGGGCATAGATAAGGATATTGAGACCAGGTTAGTGGATCAGGCTGAGGACTCCCTCCTGGAGCTCTGGAATTACTCTCTGTCTTGACCTGTGTAGGGGTTACATAAACATATACACAGAGAAATTAAATCATTGGTACAGCTTTGATTCCAGCTTCTTAAACTCTGGGTCACAGCCCAGTGCGGGAGGGTTAGCAAACAATATGACAAGAATTAAGCAGTATCTGAGCTGTTCTCCAGTAGCTCAGCCCAGTGCTTCGCTGTAGATCTCTGTGTCTGCTTCCATCAGACGCAGATGGTTGGAGTTGATGGTTCTATGATGACAAGGTAGTCATCAACCTGAGTACAGGAGAAGGTCAGTACATGCATCCTGTCCACTGTTGCTTAGGGTCTTAGCTGGGGTCATCCTTGTGGATTCCTGGGAAATTCCCTAGTGCCATGTTTCTCGCTAGCCCTTTAATGGCTCCCTCAATCAAGATATCTCTTTCCTTTATCTCCCTCGCTGTTCTTCCCTCTTCTTTAGCATCCCATTCCCTCATATTCTCCTCCTCCCTCCTCTTCTCCCCTCCCTTTCCCTTCAAACCTTCTTTCCCTCCTTCTAATTTTCTCAGGAGGGCTTGTCTGTTTCTGCTTCAGATCCATGTGTCTCTCTTAGGGTTCTCCTTGTTACCTGATTTCTCTGGGATCATGAACTATAGGCTGGTTATCCTTTGCTTTATGTCTATTACCACTTATGAGTGAGTACAAATCATGTTTGTCTATGTGGGTCTGGGTTACCTCACTTGGGATGTCTTTTTTTTCCTAGTTACATTCATTTGCATGCAAATTTAATGAACAGTCAAAGAGAGGAAGGAGTGAGAGTATGAACAAAAGGGTCAAGACCATGATGGTGATACCCACAGAAACAGCTGACCTGAGCTACTGAGAGCTCACTGACACTTGAGAGGTTTGGGCAGTCTGTGGGGCCACTGGCAGTGGGACCAGGACTTATCCCTAGTGCTTGAACTGGCATCTAGGAGCACATTCTCTCTGGAAGGATACTATCTTAGCCTAGATATAGGGGGGAGGGCCTTGACCTTGCCTGGAAGTGAAGTGTCAGACTTTGTTGACTCCCCATGGGAAGGCTTTACCCTTTCTGAGGAGTGGATGGGGAGGGGGTGGATGGAAAGTTGGAGTGGGAGAAAGGGAGGGAGTGGGAACAGGAAAAACCATGTAAAATGAGAAAAGATAGTTTTAAAAATGCTTAAGAAAAAAAGAAAAAAAGTGATCTAAAAAAATAAAAAAATCAAACCAAAACAAAAGAAGACAAAGCAAAGCAACAACAAAAAGAGGTTTCTGAACTCCCGGCAACTGGAATCAATTCCACATCAATACACACTGAAATGGAGTTGTCTCTGGCCACATGCTAATAAGCTGCACTGAGTGATGTCACTTGGTTCTAAACACACAGCAGGCACATTTTTGCATTGTGCATACTGTCACACCATGTAAAACCAATGCACGCTACCTAAAACATTACAGCTCAGACTCCAGACTAAGGTATGGTATGAATCACAGCATTTACTGTACATAGAAAGTTACCTGCTCTTACATAAACGTTAAAGCTTAATTGTAGGAAACAGCTCCTGTGGGATAACCTTTCTGTGAATGTTTTGTTCCCATTGGTAAATAAGAGAGCTGATGTTGGTCAGGAGCAAGGCAGGATGGAGCCAAATAGAAAAGTCAAGCTAAAAATATAGGGAAAGGGAAGGGCGGAGTCTGGGAGATGCAAGCAAGCTGCTGGAGCCAGATGTACTAGAGGATGGGGTAGCTCCACAAACTCTGTGGCAAAATATAGATGAATAGAAATGGGTTAATTTAAGTTGTAAGAGCTAGTTAGAAATCAGCCTGATCTATAGATCAAATATTTATAATTAATACTAATCTTCTGTGTGATTATTTAGGGACGGGGCAGCTGGGAAACAAAAGCACTGACTCTACAAACAGCCTTTTAATATTTTATACTGCTATTTCTTATTGTGCTTATCAAATTAATATACCTTTGAATTGTACTCTGCTATTATGATTAAATTTAAGAATTACTGTTTGAGTTTCTGACTTCAATTTCAGGAAATGTCACTTGGTAAAGTTTACCTTGTCACTAGAATAAAATTTCCAATAGATTTTGAAATTTCTCTAAACATTATTTTGCCATTTTTTTCCCTATGGTATTTTTAGGATTGGTGATTATAGAATATCAACCAACTACAAAAAACATTAAAGATATTCTGCATCCCAAGGATCAAATATTCAGTTGAGATTAAATTTTTTATGTAAGAAACACATAGATTAACATTCAGTTTGCCTTAATAAATAAAAATCATATTTATACATATTTATAAAATTATTTTAAAACAAATATACTTATGATTTGCTATCAATAAATATTGATACTATTTTATAGACTATTACTATAGGCATACTATTTTATAGACCTATGTATTACACAGCTGGGGTAATGAAAAAATTTAACTAAAAGGTGATCACAAACATAAAAATTTGAGATGCCCTATTTCAAAATGCACACTAGCTAAAGTTTAACACATATTTAAATTAAGAGAAGTAGCAACAGGAAGTTTGGGAGGGAACTATTCAGTAGTCCCTGAGGTCAGTCAGTCTTACAGCAGGTGGGTTTCAGGAATAAGATCCCCGAAACTAAGACAATTACATAAATGATAATTAAAAACCTGGGAGTGAATTCTACACAGAAGCTTAGCACACCTCAAAGGAGGTTTTCAAACTTTAAAGGTAGATGCATTAGAAAACTTCACACATAACATAAAAACTTAAATAAAATTAAAGCTAGAAAAGCAAAGTAAGACTAAGACTAGAATAGAAAGTGGAATAATTATATATTGTTTGGGATAATGGCGTTAATGTATAAGATCATAATAAAAAACTGATTAGTCATTAATTGCAAGTTCAAATTAAGCTATCCTAGAGAATAAGACAAGTCAGGTGGGCTAAGTGATATAAACTCATATGTAGCATACCAGTAGATAGATGCCAACATATAAGAGCTAACATCAAAATGCATAAATCACAGTTAACATTTATAACACAGCACATGTATATGTAATATATACAACTTATTTTTTTGACTGACTGTCAAAAATACTTTAGATTAAAATGTGATTTAAATAAAGAGTATCAATATGGAAAAGGGCAAAGGGCAAAGAAAAAACATCGAAAGAGATTTCGATCCTTCATTTCCAGAGGGAAGGACCTATGTTAGGGATGGAAGGGGGAGGGCACTGCCAGCAATCGGGGCACGCGACTTGCCAGTGCTCAACATGAAGCCTAAGGGAAGTGAAAATGAATAACGGACAAAATCCAAGTCAGCCTAGGATGTTCAAAGTCTATGTTCCGTCCAATGTGCCACAATAAATGAACAAACAAACAAATAAATAGTAAATAAATAAACTGAGAAACTTTAATAAAATATAATTTAAAATGATAAGTGGAAACCAGCATTGCTTTGTTTCTCAATTTATTATTAAAGTTAAGAAGGTAGGTACTAAGTTCATCTTTAATAACACAGCATGTTGTCTAAATTTAGTGACTAAAATTGTATCTAAAAATTGATGAAATCTTTAGTCTTTTCCAATACTCTTTGAACATCTTTTGTTCCTGATGAAAACTGAGCAGGTATTTCATTTTGGTTTGATTTGTACTTTGTCAATGACTTCTTCCTGCTAATTATCTTTCTTTCTTATTTTACGCAAATTTTTAAAAGACTGAAGATTAGCATTAAAGATCATTCCTTTCTTCCTGATAGCTGAAGTCCTGCAAGGCACTTGGTCTTTAATTTTCTCAATTATTATTTATTGAAACTTTTTGTGTTCGCCAGAGAACATGAAATATTTGACATGCCCTGGCACCAGGTCTCTCCATGGCTCCCCTGTGATTGTCATGGAAAGAATACAGAGAAGTCACCCAGAGCATAGTGTATTCTAAACAAAACTCTTGAGGGGCGAGAGTGGACAATAACCTACATTATCATCGTACTGATCTGTTTGCCATTTAGTCAGGCTCTGTGTAAGTCTTAAAGTCTCTAAAACAAGCAGTATTTTCCGAAGGAATTTTTTCCTGTCCAGGCATTTGATAGGCCTGTTTGAAATGAGTCTTAACAGGAAGGGGGCAGTGGCATAAAACCTCTTGATGGACAGGAATCTTACAGGGATCAGCCCTCTAAGAACCATGTTTAGGTAGTCATTTACTAATGAACTGCAGATAATTCAGGATGCCTGAAGAGAGCCAGAGATGCCTCCCAGCATCCATTCTTCAAACCAGCAACGACAGTCTGTAGTACCAATTCCTGGTTTTACAGGCTACTGAGGGAGAAGTCCAAGCCCAGCATCCTCCAACCCTGCTGAAGTTGAACTAACTTTTGAATTCATTCACTCAACCCTTACAAAGTGAGCAGAGATGGTCTTCTTCACTCACTAATGATCACTCACCGAGGGGAACGTGTCACAGTCACAGAAAAAGACGATCAATCACCTTTCTGCTGCCTCTGACTCTTTTACTAGGAAACTGACTTAAATCCAAAACCAAAAGTTAATAGAAGCTATATCCATATCTGTGTCTTTCTTCTCCTTGACTTAGCAAAGAGAAGTATGTACTATAGAAATGTGTAGGCTGTAGATCCCAGGAGAATCATCTCTGAATTCTCTATTAGAGGCAATGTACTTCATTTACACACCTGAACTCAACCAAGTTTAAATCATTATTCTTCCAATTTAAGGAGGGGCATCAATGTGAAGATCAGCCAACTTCCAGAAGTTTGGAAATTTAATAATAAATGATGAATATGTCTCATAGAAATGCAAAATTTCATTCCTAGGAATATATAACATAATTGAATAACGTTACTACTGAAGATGCTATCTATTAAAGTCCCAAAGAGGTAATTCAAAATGTATGTCTCAAATCTACCAACATGAAAGTAAGGCAAGCATTGTACAACAGTGTTGTGTGACTTGCTGGAGATTTACAAACAGATGTATACATTCACTAAAAGTAGGATGGAGATAAAGACCAAAATAAT